CTGTTCAACTTGGGTAGACCAGCTCTAGAGAATGTCCTTTTGTGAAAGTTTAAATTCAGTTTTGGATGACTGAAGACAAGCTTTACCTTACCCACTCAAATTTTACTTAAAACTGGAGCTCCAAAGATTGTTCATTTGTGAAAAATGGAATGAGGCTCAAATCCTTTGCCTTGCAGATTCATAAATGGATATAAAAATTAATTAGGACTCAGATCAGGGCTGAGATTCTGAATGGTAAGATCTGCTCATGTAGACGTTGTCTGTACCACTTCAACCTTGATTCAGCTTTGCAGACTCTTTTCTCTTGGGGGACATCTACAAATGAGATTCTGATCTGGCAATGCTTGCTTGGCTTCCAAGTTCATCTCTCAGTGGGTGGATTGATGTGGTCAACAACAGCTAACACCATTTGCTTATTTGTCCTCATTGTCATAGAAAATTCTCCCTTGGAGGGAGGAATTCTCAGCAATTTTAGGTCTCAAAATTCTGCACTTTTCTGCAGTTCACAGTAGGCAGAATTCTCTTTCAATTCATTGCTTTCCACTGGGTATAACTTTATCCAATAAATCTCCTTTCAGGCAGGATTTTATGTTCTAGGTTTCAGCTCATAGGTGTTTCTTAGGCTTACAGTGGTGGTATAAGCTTTTCAAATCAGTTCAGATACTTCTATTTTTACTTTGAATTTTACTGGGTTTGCCATTTTCCCAGTGTATAAAACACATATTTCCCTTTTACATAATTGTGTGGAGAAAACAGCTCTTGTTGGGAACTGAACTTATATTTAATTCTGAAGATGTAATAAATTACTAACTTTTGGAGGAAGAAAGTTTAAAGGAAAATAAATTAACCTCAAGGCATTTAAAGATAGAAATTTAGGACTTGCACTATACATTTTATGATTGCATTTTTAAGACTTCATTTAGGCAGAGCAGCTTAAAAAGTCTCATCATCTTTGAGACACTTTATCGTGATGGCAGCCATCACCTAGAATATTTTGCTGCATTGAGCAAAAGTCTCAGGGTCACTACAAAAAAAATAAAAAATTCACTCTTTTTTTTTTTTTTTTTTTGAAGTAACAGGAACATGTTTTTCTTTTGAAAAATACTTTGATCACATCTGATGATCCAGGTGCCTCCAGCTGAGTTAATTGATCAGCAGTTACCTCAAAGTACCTGGTGTCAAGTTTAGTCTGTCACTTATTATTCATCCAGAAGTCTTGGGCATATAGCAGCAACAGAGTAAAATAAACCCATACTGGCAGCATATTTTTAGTCTGTATATCTACAGCTACACAAGGCTTTTGCAAGTAAGAAAACATCTCCAAAAAGTGTATCTTAACCAATATTTTTATTGTGGCAATTACTTCTAGTGGTCTAATTATAAATGCTAATACCACTACTGCTTGTCTGTGTCCTCTGCAGCATTTGTTTTATGTCAATAAGTTTCAACAAACAAACCAAGCAGAGAACCCAGTCTTCAGTTGACTCTGCATGAAGTAATTGCAGTTCCACTGAGAATATATATCAGTTGTTGTGTTCATGTAGCAGGCATAAATATGGACATTAAATATTTTGTCCAGTAATACAGGTTTAAAAGACATTTTTCTTTAGATTGACTTCAGATACATTTACTTAAATCAATTGGTTTACGTGTACTTGTCAATTATAACAATCACACCGTGGATGTATTTATTTACAAATTGCAGTTGTGCTCCTGTAAGTTGGGGACATTGGCTTTTTCTGGTTTACTGGCTTTAATCACACTTACAAAGAGCCTTCAATGGCTTGTGAGATCCAATAACTGAGGTGGTAAGGTTAATGGGGCATCTTGTTGTGCTGCACATTTTTGTTGCAAATTATTTTGAATATTAAATGCATGAAATCTTTGTCATAGGAAAGTGAGAAAAGGACTTGAGTGGGTAAAGGAGATGGGTCCAGCTAACAGCTGGTTGCACAAATAAAGCTTAAGAACAATGACAGCAGCCGCCTTTAGACATTGACACAACTGTAAGATACAGACAGTATCTGAAATGTGAGTGATTTTTGTCTGGCAAAAGCAAATTTGAGAGAATTAAAATAACGGTTTTGATTACCGCTCTTGTGATTATCTTGCTTCACCCTGTAAAAAGTAGGAGATAATTAATTTCCGTCCAGTATTGTTTATAAATTTTCTCATGCCCACCATGCCCAAATCTTCTGACTGCTTCTCTAGCCATGGAGGTGCTGAGCATCACCTCCAATTCCAGTGCAGAAATACAGCAGAGGTGTTTTTTTTTTATACAGAGTTAGAAGTGAGGCTGAGACTGCTCCCTGTCGGGATAATTTCTGAGATAGGTTTTTGGCTAAGTGGTTCAAATCGTCAAACAGTGAAGAAATCCTTAGAACACACAATATTCCACATTTTCCCACAACACAGGGAAACACAACTCCAAGGAAATGCTGCCAGCTAAAGGGCTTACCTTACTCCCACACCCAGGCCAATGCTGTGCTTCCCTCCCTTCCACCTGTATGCTTGTCTGTTTATTGCAAGCACTTGATTTAAACCCCAGATTTGTTCTCTCTGCCCTGTGATGCTTAGAGAATTGAACAAACTGTGCTGCTCGTAAAGCAACATGTACTGTGCTTTTGTGCAGTACTGATTGTCAATAAAATGTCATTTAGCTAAAATAAAAATACTGATTGCCAATAAAGTGCAATTTAGCTAAAACAAAGTACACATTTCTTAGTAAAAGCTTCCATGGCAATAAAGGAAAACAGAAAATACTGATAATATTAAAATTGCAAGTTTAATTCTTTTTTTAACTATCCAAACCCTCATGTTCAAACTTTCAAACAGAATAGTGGTATCAGCAGTAGGCATCTGTAAAGTTGTTACCAGCTGAAACCTATGTTAAAGTATATTAGTTACTTCTGTTATATTTCTGCACCTGTCCTTCTACCAAACATGCTTTCCTACTCACACCAAAATCTCTACACTAAACCTGGTGGGAAAGGATTGCCACCTTCCTGTGTATATTGAATGGCTTTCTTTGCCCTATAGGCAGAAATATCTTGTAACAGAGCTAGATCATCCATTCCTGGGCTTTAAGCAATTTCCTGGGATATGATGAAACTTACTTTAGAAAATAAAGTCAGAACTAAATGCAGCATGTAATCATGTAGATCAAGAGTGGAGGAAAAACGGTTCCATCGAATGTACAGGAAACATTTAGGGGAGCAGAATAGACCTTTCAGGATTGTTAAAGAAAGAAATAAAATCTGAACAAATTCTCCCACTTTTCATTAGCATTTTGAATTTCCAGTAGCATCCAAGATGTTTGTTTAGTACTTTATCAATTGTCATATACAGAGCTAGGGAAAAACAGGAAGTTTGGGGTTTGGTGGAACTCCTAGAGTTAGCCCAAATCCACAAGTGTGCAATGTATATAGACAGAAACTGTTCACATAGTCTTACTTAAAGCTGCTTAACAGCTTAAAATGATAAAAAGTCCTTAACACAACTTAAGAACTTAAACCACTTAAACTATTTGAAGCAGCTTGTGAGTTTGAAGAGTTTGGGTTGGGGGGCGTGCTGAGAGGCAGCCCTTGGAGCTGCAGCCTGGGGACAAGGCTACCACACCAGGAGTCCCAGAGAAGGGCACCTCTTGCAGCTAAGCTTGGGAGGCCTGGGGGTGATGTGAGGGAGAAGAGGGAAGAGTTTCTACATATTTTTATGTGGCATTGTGTATATGCCCAGATTGCTTTGCTTTAAATAGCGTAGCAGGGAATCTTACAGGCATGTGAGGTGTCAAGAGTGGCATCTCCCCAGTGAAACAGGGAAGAGGGTGGCAGAAAAATATTGTCTATGACAAGTCTTCAACTGTGTAAAACAGCTTTGGCTCATGGGCCAAGGGAAGGCTCCTCAGGAGCATTGTGAAGAAGTCTACACAAGCTGCAAGCCAAAATGCTCTGCTTTTATGGCTTCAGGGGCTGAAGGTGTGGGTGAGGTGGCAAGAGTGGGCCTTTTAGATCTATTGATTGGGAAGGTTTTGTTTCTGAAAGATTTTTTTTGGGAAAAAGAAATGGGGTGAGGCAGGGAGGGTTTCTTTAGTTTAACTGATGTCAAGCAATGTTAGTTGGTTATATCAGAAACATGTTGTTAATATATGAAGTCACACATTTATAAAGCACTTTTAAAAAAATAAGCCAGTGTTCATGGGATTCAGTTTGGTTCCTGCTGCTGTGTGTGGTCATCAGTGGTCGAATGTGTGTTGAGAAGGCACAGGAATGGGAATGAGCATCTGAGAGGGAAAACAGCCAGGATGCTGCTTTTGATGGCAGTGATGTCACCTTAAATGTTTTGAAGCTTCGGCTGGTTTTCATTGATGCAGGCAGTGATTTACACCTTTCAGTGCAGAAAAGGCTGTAAAACAGGAGTGAATTACATTTTGTAGAATTTGAAAATAAATTGTGCATTCACAGTCACTCAGGGTGAGACCCATTTACACTTCCAGAGTGGTATATGATGAGTAAATGAAAGTTAGGCCTCTGTGTGAATGAAAAATGCCTGTTTTACCAGAGGCTGTGAAAAGACAGAGCAAGAGAGACTTAGTGGAAATTGGAAGCAAGATTTTATTTGTTTGTTTAAAACAGTAATACTGATTTGGAGTCAGATGGAGCATTGGTATAACTGCAAACTAATTCCACGGAATTCTGCGAGGTATTTCTGGTGAAGTTGATGGGGCTGGAAGTTTATATTTATAATCCAAGTTTTTCTTGTGTTTGGGTAAGTGTTTATCACTGGGGTGAAACAGAGCTTGGATGTAGTTAAAATCATGTGTTCTCAGTACAATTAAATGAATACTTGGCTTTCCTTTAGATGAAGAATGAAATATGGAAATGTTACTTGGTGAGGGTAAGTGCTTTCTAACGAATGGCAGACATAAAAAGAAACCATTTGATTAATGAAATCTTGCTAATGTACTACATAATACTAATTTCTCAATATTGCTTTAATTTCAGAACATTTCAGGATCTGTCCAAACAAATGGATATATCTTATGGTACAGTCAGGGACTCAGCAGTGTATGAATACTTTAAAGCAAAAGGGACCAACCCTTTGGAGCAGGATAACACATTTGCTGAACTGTGGAGGACTATCAGTAAGAATAATGGGGCAGATAATTGCGTATCAAACCCTTCTGAAGGCATCAGAAAGGTAAGACTGGACCACAGGGGTTTTAATTTAATTTCTGTATTAATGTTGTTTTGGTGTAGTTAATGTTTAATCACAGGAAAGAAATTACAGTCATTTTAAACCCCCCCCCAAATTCCTGTATAAAGTTCCTTTTAATACCTCAATGGCATATTTTGGTGTCACTGTTCTCAATTTAAGTACTTCAGCTCTGCCTAAGTCTTCAGTATGTAAGTCCTTTGGATCTGGCCATAAGGTTTCTCAGTTTTGTGGGAGCTTTGATAATGCCTTTTTGGATGTAATTCTTTACATTATCCAGCACTGACTCCTGTCCTTTGCTCATTTGAGTTTGTTTTCTTTTTTCTGAGTTCAGGATTGGAAACATGAGTAAGAATTAAGGGATCCACAGAATGCATACTAATTTCTCTTAAAACAGAAATTTAATGAAAGATTTTTCTCTGTTTATTCCAGAAAATTTGAAAAATGCATTCACATGGCACTGTGTTTTACCAAAATGTTATTTCTCTCAGATAAAACCACACTTTTTTTTTGGAACAGAGAATTAATGTGGATTCAAGGACTGATGAATATCAGCGTAGGATGCTGCATTTTTGTTCTGAGTCCTGTGATAAAGAGTATTGGCCATTTGAAATGCCCACTTTCTCTCTCTCTCATAGCCTGCCTCTCCCCTCTGCTCCCCCTCTTGAATCTCAACAAAACCAGGCAGTACCTTACATCAAACACATGTCCAGGAGTACATTATGCAGAAGGGATGCAGACATGCTGAAAGCCTTGATGTGCTGCTGCTTTAGTGAAAAGTGTCCCCTTCATCTGTCAATTGATTTTTTTCCTAAAACAAGTTAACAGCTTTTATTACCATAGTGAATGTCTGATCAGAGATACTCTTGTCAGTGAAACAGTAATTTACTAGTTCTTTATGCTTTTATAAATGGGACATAATAAAATGGTTTTGGCTTGAACTTGCTTTTTTCTATTTTCAATTTTTGGAAAACTTTTCTGAACAGTCAGAGGGGCATTATCCAAAATCTGCTGCTTTACAGTGCCATAAAGAGGGTGAACACAAGTAATGCAAGCCATCCCATTTCCCAGACCAAATTTCTTTAGCAAAAGATTCCCAATTCTGCTCAATTTTTGGACAAAATCTTTATGTGGACACTCTTATGTCTTAGCCTACAAGTATTCAGTCAAAACTTTGGATTGACCCTGCCCATCTCTCAGATGAGCTTCCCCAAAGCCCTCTGCCCTCAGCTCCAAAATTCTCTCTTCCTTGAGGAAAAGGTAGAGCTCTGGCAATAGCAGTCTGCAGTGGTTGTTTCTGGGTTCTGTTTTCCCTTAATCTGCTCAGCACTTTATGAAAATGAGGCCTCTTTTGATATGTTTTGGTAGCATTTGGAGAAGAAATAGACATTAAATACTTTCCTATGTACCCTAGCATTTTAGCCAATAATGTAACAGTTTACCTTAGAAAAATATACAGTATTTTACTCTTCTTTTTTCTAACATTCTTATGGCAGTGGATGCTCTTTATCCATGAAATTGTAAATACTCTTATTCTGTAAGCCTAGTGCATGCTGCCATTTATGATAGCTACATTTGCTAAGCCAGAAATGTAACTGTAGATTGGCAGGCAGTTGAGAATACCAATTATATTGTCTGTATGGAGCTGGCAGCTCCATCCTGTCTATGTGATAATAACTTTTTATACTAAGTTTGATTTCAGTGTTGTAGGGTGATTTTTATGTAACTAGATCAGCTCATTCAATTAATGTCAACAACAAGTAAATTTTACTTCAGTCCCCAAAGATGACCGAGGCTGCTATTTGGTTAGACACCTACATAAATTGGCATTAATATTTTATAACATTGTCAACTAAACTATTGTGTTTACAATTAAAGTGTCGCTCTTCCTAGCTCATTGAACTCTCTGAATAAACAGACAAGTTTTCTATGTCAAGTATTATGGCTAGAAATTCTGGGTTTATTTCTAAAGAATTGATGTCAGCCAAGGAAATGAGAGTTTCCATCCATAAACACGTACTGCTGCATGAAAGAGATGTAAATGTGCCTTACAAATGTATTTTGTAGGAAATGGGAGCTCTAAATCTCTCTAGCATAAAAAGATTCATAAAACATTTTTCTGAATGAGGACTTGCCTGACACAATGCAAAAAAAGAGAAAGCTCACTACTGTTCTTTCTTCCCTCTTTCTCCTTTCCATTTTCTTCAGACAGTACCATAGTGCAGCTGCAGTTACAAATAAAGCAATGCCACTTCAGTGTAAAACAGAATGCTGGTTATTTATGCCACAGACAGAAATTTCAGGTGTTTGTCCCTATTCCATTTATCTTTCTCCATTTTATGGAGATTTTCCTACTCCCTTTGACAGTCTGAAAGCAAAGGGATGGCAGTGAAAGAAAGTCATGTGAGCTTTGGTGGCGTTGGTTGCCCTGGCAGAGATGTCCCTTCAGACACAGCAAGGTCCCTGCAGCCACAGTGACCATCTCCCTCCCATGGGCAAGGCACAGCTTTTGTAGCACTGGGAGAGCCATGGAGAAGGCAGAAATGCACTGCAGTGTCACATAAGTGACAAGAGGACTCTTGAGAGCCGAGGGTGGTGGGGGAAAGGTTGCTTTTGCTGTATTCTCAAGACAGCTGAAAGTGGTCATTGAAGATGGAAAACCTCCTCCTATTCAGCAGTACCTCTGCACAGCACAGGAGCAGAAACCTCACAAACCACCCATCCATACATAATGCTGATTTCCACTTTGAGCTGTCTGGGACTATCACAGATGAGGATTGACCAATGCTGTCAAAGGAAAGTTTCTACAGCCAGGATTTCAGTGAACTGTTTCCTTTATGTCCACTGGCAATTAGGATAATTATTGATTGCAGCAACAGACGTCATAACCTGTGTTTTTTATTTCCTTTGGTAGCACCCATTTTTGCTTTGAAAGAATGAAGTAATATGATCCCCATGTGATCCTGCATTTGCTATATATGCAGATAGGAGAATTAAACTCATTATTGCATTTTATAATGCCCTGCTTTGGTTGAGATTATTTGTTCCCCTGTCCAATCAATTTGGTGCCAAAATTTCTCAGAATTGTTTATTTTATTCCTGTGTATCACTTTTGATCAAAAGTGATCAAAACCAAGTAGAGCACAAAATGATAATGCATCATTGATTTAGGCAATGGCACAGTAAGAATTTCTTCCTTCTCTTTTTTGTTTCCTTAATGATCACTGAACATTAAATCAGAGCTATCTTCTCTCTTCATTCTAATTTTGAGAAGTAATTTAAAAGTTCATTCAATATGATTTTTTAAAAACTACTTTGTCCACAATGAGTTTTATATGGTGAATTGTGATTGCTCTCATAGAGCTTCATAAATTTCTCCATTTCTTGACCCATCAGCCTTTGACAGAAAAGCAAATGCTTCCTTAAACCTGAATCTATTGCATCCTGTAGTGGTTCCTTATTATTTTAATATTTGAAACATTCCAACAAGATTAAATGGCTTGCTTTTCTCTTTATTTGAACTGTGTTGCTACTTTTAAAGCGCTTTTATGTAGATAATAAATGTTATCCAGCCATGCTTTTGAACTACTCCACTAAGGCCAATGTAAAGGTCACTTTTTGGTATTTCTGTGGTACCAGCCCTATAATGGGATCAGCTACACTGACTCTCTGTTCTGGCAGTAAATTAATGATGGATTTTGCATTATTCTGGCACTTCTGACTTAAGTGTGATAGCTTCATCATAAGTTTCAGATAAATCACAGATATATCAGTGATTAATCTGGAATCAATCCTTTTCATGTTATTATTTTTTCTTATCATGCTTTCTTTGAAGCAACATTGTTTAACCATCAGTAAGCCAAGACCCTTTGAACAATATTCCTCTATCTCCATCCACCCTGAAGAGTGACATTATGGGGTTGTTTATTGCATTCCTGGAATATTATTTTCTTTGTGGTCCTTGTCTTGTCTAGGAAGCAATCTTCTTTGGCATTTTAATTTTTTTTTAGGATTATGAAGAAGAATTTTTTTTTCAATATAATTGCCTAGGGGGTTCTTTTTTCTTAAATCTCTTAAACCAAAGATAAATCTGGTGTCCTTGATATAAGCCAAAGTTGTTGTTCTACCTAGGTGGAATAAATGAGTGCTGCTTTGGCTTTCTGATAAAGAGGTTTTTGAAAGTTTAACTAAATTATCTTTGTTTTGTTGAGCAGCATACCTGTATACTGAGAGTCACAGTAAGACCATAGAAAAGGAGCAAAATATGAAGTACAATTAGAAGACTGAAGTATAAATTTGAGCTCATTATTCTGTGTTTGTTTCAGTAATTTTTTTATTTAAGCTATATCACCTGTTCTCAGCTGGTGTTTGCCACAGGCCCTTTTGCCAGTTTTCCTACATTCATGGCCTGGAAGTTGAGGGGCAGATGTATGTGCACAGATGGAGTCTTTCATTAAAAAAAAAAGGAAAAAAAGAAAAAAACAAGTTTAAACTACATTTAAAATTGAGGTTGATTTTTCATTGAACATAAATGTCAATTTGATTTTATTTGGCTTTTACTGCTTGCCTAGTGAAGGAATATAAAAAGTCAGCCTACTTCAAACATACATACATGTATGTGTGCATTTACATATCTTGTACATGTGTTTTTCAAAGTTTGACAGCTTTTCCTTAAATTGAACAATTGATACTGCTTAGCTGTCACAACAGATATTAACGGGGAAGTGAAGGATGCTGAATTTAGACAGTAACTAAACATTTTGTTATAAGAAAGCTTTCCACGCAACAAACACACTAACAGTGTGAGGTCTTCACTCTTCAGGGAAGAAAATTTCATGAGTGGAAGAAGTTTGGAAAGAACTAAGTCTTCCCTTAGAAAAAAGGGATCTTTGGAGATTTTGATTTTGGCCATCAGGGAGGGTGGGGATGCAGCCTTGCACCCAGGGTTTCTGGGAGTTGAAACATATGCACAAGCAAGAGTTTAAAAGTCAGATTCTTGATTATGCTAAAATGATCAGGCTGTCAGAGAAATAATGCTCTACAGATGTGATGACATTGGATAGACTGATTTATGTCATTAAAAATATGTAAAATAGACATGAAGAGATCTGACAGACTTAGTTTATTGACCATTTACAGTTTCAGGATGTCATTCAGGATAGCAGCACTACAAGCACAAGAGAAGTAGACCTTTACAAATGATCTGCTGTCCAGCACTGAAAGTCAGTGTACAAAGCTCTTGTTATATAAGATAACATGGAGAAAACTGAGGACTGAAAAGCAGAATCAATAATGTGTTTTTTTAATTTAGCCAGTGCATTGTAATAGAAGGCTAATATTTGAGGAACACTGTGTTTCCCAAGTATTACTAAGAGGTATATAAGGAAAGTATTGTGTTGTCAGGGTTCTTTTCTAAATTGTAAATTTGAAAACATGATTTACTGATGAGTTTTGAAAGAACAGAAGATTAATACATCTCTTTAAACTGGACAAACCACCAAAAGAAACCCAAAAACCAAACAAAAACCCACCAACTTCAAACCCCTCCCAAAAAAAACAAAAACAAAAACCCAAACCAAACAAAATAACTACAATAAAAAAAGAAGACAAAATTTCTACCAACCAACATAAAAATATCCAGAGAAATGTAAAACACATTTTACCATCGTGACTTGGGATAAATCTTTGTGGAGTGTCTGATTTCTGTATATCCATCAGGCAGGACTTTCTTTTTTTCTTTAATATCATGGATTTTGAATACATTCTGTGTACAGTAACAAGTGCTGCTGGTTTTGATCCCAAGGACATAATTTTAGTGCTGACAGTTTCCTATAACAGATAGCAAAATCCTATGTAATATTATTTGCCATGGAACACAATATGGCTGAGTAATAAAAATTATATTTTCCTAGGATTCAGTGGACAGACTCTTCCACATCTTACCAAAGAGAAAAGATATAACATTTCTACTCTGTTTTAACCCAGAAGCAAATGAATTTGTGGATCTTTGATTGCCTCGATGCAGATTAAAGGGAAACAGGGAAAAGAGGTAGATTGCAGCAAGTACCTTCCAGAAAGTCTAGTCAACATAATTTAAATCTTTGTTCCCCTGAATTCTGCCTCTTAGAAGATACCTCACCCATTTGATTCATTGTCATGTGTAAGCAACTGTAAGGGACTTTGGAAAGGTACAGTTTATGTCAAACTATGGTGAAGTAAATTATCTTGTTTGCTCAACTGAGGAATCCAGTGTAATGAAATAACTGATGGAGTCTTACAAACTTACAGGTGAATTCAAAACTGAGCTTAGAAAAGAAATGGAAGGATGAACTAATTCTGTGCCAGAGCTGTAGCCATTTGCCAGGGGAGCTTTGTGAATCAGTTCCCATAAATAAATACATACAGGACTTCAGCTACTTAAATATACTAGGTAACCAGTGGTTACTTTAACCAAAAAAAAGGTATTTTATTTTACTTTACTGAATCCCTATCCAGACATGTTTCTTACATCTTGTGTTAAATAAGGTGATTTATATTCATTATATACATGGTGTGCAGGCCTTGGTTTCAGTTCCAATTGAAGCTGATATTTAAGAATATCTGTATGGATGTGTGTTAAAATAAAGTGCTGTTTATCCCAAAACTGAGATAGTAGTAGATGCTTGTGAATCTTCTTGCCTGTGAAGGAAGGAAGGATCTCTTTCAGCTTAGTGTGTGCCTTTTGTTACAGGACTCTCAGAAGAGCTGTATTTACTTGCAAGGGAAATTTGTTTATTTATGTTTGTATGAGCAAAGCTGCAAATTTTGATGCCTGTGATGCTCATCACTTAATGCTCATACTATGCCACTCTTGTCACTTAAATGCATGGAACCAGTCGCATTCCATGTCTCCTACAAAATAAGCGTTGAATTTCATAATCTAAAGCAATAGCTTTGATTTATAATTAATAACCTGTTACATAAACCTCACCTACACTTATAGTTGGCTGTGTTATCCTATGTGCATCCTAAAAAACGGAAGATATTTTAGCAAGGTTTGAAGTAGGTGAGGTCCTGCTGGGAGAGAAGACTGTTAGAAATGTATTAAGATATTGAAGGTCTACATATTAACTGTGACCTAATGAAATACCTCCAAGGAATAGTGACAAGATCTGGATTTGTTTGCTGGCTTAGGTTTTGTCCTACCTAGAAATGCAGTTTTAGACTGTGTTGTGTTCATGCTGTATTTACAGGCAAAGAAAGGAAATTATGCTTTCCTGTGGGATGTGACAGTGGTGGAATATGCTGCACTGACAGATGATGAATGCTCTGTGACAGTCATTGGAAACAGCATCAGCAGCAAAGGCTATGGGATAGCACTCCAACATGGAAGTCCCTACAGAGATCTTTTCTCCCAGAGGTAAACTGAAACAAAGCTTGTTTTATAGGATTTCTCTCTATAGCCAGCAACCGTTCACATTAATTTTGGCACTTAATTAATAAAAAACAATGACTACATGACAGCAGAGAGGTTATGAGTTCAGGCTCCAGCAAAGCTGCTGCTTCTTCTGCTCCATGTGCATTTGGTTTGGGAGGAGGGGACTGGAGATGATGTGTGGCCTCACACCCTTAGACAGCAATGCCTCTGGCAGAGAGGACTGATGTCCTCAGAGCATGGTGTGAGGTAGAGGAGAGAGCTTGAGTTGATGCCACATTCTGCAGTCTCTGAAGAAATGTGTTTCTCCCTGCAGTAAGCAAGCAGCAATGCCTTGTGTTATCCTTTAGGCTGGAGGGACAGGTCAAAGACTCACAATGGTGCATGGAAACAAGAGTTGCAGAGAATTGCTTGGGACTGACAAGACCAGGAGACTATAAAACTTTGCTGTTCAGTGATCTCTGAGTTATCACTTGTCAGTGTGAATGTGTACCCTGAAATGAAGACATGCAGTTGTGCAGGCATGTGTGGCCTTAGCAGAAGGTGAGCGGGTGCTCCGCTCCAGGCAGGGAGCTGAAACCAGATTGCCTCATCTTGCTCCTCCTTTATAAAAAGGAGCAAAACTCCTGCTGCATAACTAGAGACAAAGCTGTCTCAAGGGAAAAGATTGTTAGTAAACAGCTAAAACAGTTATCAAACCAAAACCAAAATGAATCATTCATGCAGAGAAGGGACACTTCACAAGAGACAAAACAATGATTAATTAGCAACTGTTAACACAGTAATTCAGGCATTAAGTAACAGCATTGAAGTAAAATCCTTTTGAATAAACTACATTTGCTAAAGTAGATGAGTTGGGTGCTGCTTAAACAGATTTGTACTAAGTGATGCACAAACAGTACCATGTTTAGCCTCACATATTTTTGGAATTATTGTAGGAGAGCAGCAGTGGAGTGGGTTGAGCATTTCGCTAGTGGGACCAGCTGCTGCAGCTGAATGTAGCCAGACCAGGCATAACCAACTGCTGTAGTGATTTCCCTTGGAAATGCTATTTGCTTTGCAGTGGAATTTTTGACAGTCTCTTTTTTTCCTAAAGTTACCCAGTGGAGTTTACCTGCAGATGTGAGTAGAAAGAAATCTTGGTATAAGGAGTTTCAGATGAAGAATACAACACCCTGGTGGTGGAGGGGGGTGGAGTTTTGAATTGTGGGATGGTAAACTTAAGAGCTGTGAAGCGTAAGGGAAAGACAAAAAAACCTGTAAAAAAGTATCATTGCAAATAATACTTGTCTTTTGAAATTTCTGCAGGATCCTAGAGTTGCAAGAAAGTGGAGATTTGGATGTTCTTAAACAGAAGTGGTGGCCACGGATGGGACGTTGTGACCTGAATAGCCATACCAATGCACAGACAGATGGGAAGGCACTCAAGCTGCACAGTTTTGCAGGGGTTTTCTGCATTTTAGCAATAGGCCTTCTTCTTGCTTGCTTGGTGGCAGCATTGGAGTTGTGGTGGAACAGCAACCGTTGTCATCAAGAAACGCCGAAAGAGGTCCATAACTTTTATTCTTATCACAATTAAAAGTAGAAAACACAAAAGAAAGAGAGAGCAAGTGGAAGTTGTGGGATTTTAGGTGCTCTCATGCAATAAATTTGATTTATTTTGATTTGCCATACTAAGCTTTGCATATAACTTTTTGGGTGGTTGTTTCTAAGAAAATAAAAGCAAACAAACAAAAGTGTCTTTTGTGCACATGGAAGGTGCCAAACTGACAGCCCTGGAGACTAAAGTCCTCTATTTATTTGTAGAGCAGATACAGCATGGGCAGCAGCAGTGCAAACTTCCCCTCATTGCCCCACCAATGTGCCTCAGCCCTGACCTGGAGAGACCACCTTTAGGGGTAAGAGAGTGGTTCAGAAACATGTCCTCGGCCACTCTGCTGTGAGTGACGGGGAGGCCAGTCACGGGCACCTGGCTGTGCCATTTGTGGTGATGTTTTCTCTGATCTGAGCCCCCATCCACTGGCTGGGAGACCCATGTCCACATCCTGCACAGGCTCTGCAGCTGCCAGATGGCTGGTGGCTGCTCTCCTTCATGGCTGACCTAGGCTGAGTTTGAAGAGGTACACAAGCAATTAAAAATAAATCAGCTAGTTAATAATTGAATAAGCCATATTGCCATGACACTGTTTAAATGCTTCCTTTCCTTTGAAGTCAGTTTTATTTCTAAAAGTAGGAGCCTCTGAGGAAGCTGACCTTCATATAACAAGTTTTATCTAGGAAATTGTATCTGAGAAGTTCTTGGGTTTGAAGTTTCCATGCACAGCAGCCAGCAGTAGTTCGCAATGCTAAGGTAGAATAATCTATTCTCAGATCTGTCTTGCATGAAGCCTGTATTTGTTTACATAGATTAAATGTTTAACAAACTAACCTCTTGTAATTTTGGAGACATCGAGGCATTTGTAGGTGCTGTCATCTTGGAACAGATGTTTGTTACAAGCAAACAATGGCATGTGAGCTGTGCTACTACACTACAGCTGGAAAATAGTACATAGCCCACCAATTCTAATCTCTCTTTCTCAAGTTGCAGGAGCAGTAGACTAATTGACATACCTGTCACCTGCAAACAATTTTGCAAAATTGGAAACCTGGTCTAGTGGATGGTGTCCCTGCCTGTGGCAGAGGGGTTGGAATTGGGAATCGCCAAGTTCTCTTCCAACCCAAAAAAGTTCTCTTCCATATCCTGTGATTTTGCCCGGCTGCCTGGTAGAAGTTGCTCCTGTTGTGACTCCAAAGGTTCCCCCACATAAGTGTTGTGACAGCCTGAAGCCCAGCAGTAGGTGTTGCACTGCACACTGTGAAATCCTGCAGGGCAAGGGCAGGGATGCTATCCAAAGTCCTCATGCTGTGTGCACAAGCACTTAACTGGCCATAGTATGTGGTGTGTTCCCTTCTCTATGCTCAGGGACTTGCCTTTGTGTATCTTTGTAGAGTGAGATGAGAATAGGACCTAAAGGCAGTTTCATATAGCTAAGGTGAAGTAATTGGCTCTTTTTTTTTGCAAGGAGTTTTGAATGCTCAGTTTCCATTGCTGAAAAATGATCTGTCTTCCCAAGTTTAAATATTTTCTTTTTCACCCGTCCCCTTCCTTTCTTATTTTAATAACTCTAAGAAGGATTATTGCATATCTGTGTCTACCCCACCCCATCTTTTCTCCCTTTCCCATCCTTCTCCTCCTCTTTCCCTCCAGGTTGTTCTCAATGAAGATTGCTCTTGTATGTCTATAGTGCTCTTCTGGCAGTTTCTTTGTCAAACATGGAATACTTTTAACCCTCTGTGTTTTAAAGTAAACTGAAGTTACTCCCATGGTAGAGCTGTGCTTGGGGAGATCACGGTCTGTGGGGCTGGGCCTGCCCTTGGAGCAGAACTAGGCTGGGTTAGAGGCAAATTAAACAGTGCATGGACAGGTTCCAGAAAGATCAGTGATGGGGTTGCTGCCAGGAGAGGGGGAACAGAGTCAGCAGGAGTCCTGGCACAGCAGGTGTAAAGGCTGAATGAGGAGGTGCATGTTCCCAGTGAGAGGGCACAGGGCTGGGCTGAGCCGGCTGGAGGAAGGTGGACGGAGGGTATGACAGGCAGGATGCGCTGGAATGAGGGGTCCCATGAAGGGAACAGCCAGGTGCAATGCCAGGCAGCCAGGTAGGGGCACCTTTGGGTCAGTCAGAGCAGCCACAGGGAAGGGTGATAGTTGCCCAGAGCCAGGGACAGGCAGGATCCTCAGGAACCCTCTGCCTAGGACAATGGCCACATTGCTCTGGCCCTGCTGCACACCAGGGGTTGGGGGTTCTTGTCACAGTGACCACAACATCCACTCAGCTAAATTAGTAAATGAATGTAGCAGTATTTCCTGGCAGATTAGTGGCCTGATGTATTTATGTACTACCAGTGAGGAGGATTGAAGTGGGACATCTGATGGCTACTGCAATTAAGGTAGGAAAACAAGTTTTGAAAGAGATGATGATTATAGGTTGAAGGGTTTTGACATGTTTAGAAGAACCAAGTTTCAAAACTATGGGAAGGACAGGATCCAGGGCTGAGGGGGAGTCTTGGGTTCTCCTCTGTTTGAGCCAGGAGCAGTGGCTGAGCCTGGCATAGGGTTCAGCTAAACCAAAAGCACAAGGAGGAGTGTGTTCAGGACAGCTCATTGCTGTGCATTAACCAGCATTTCTACAGCAATGAGCTATAATGGCACAGCTACAGGATGAGTAGCATACACCGAACATTAAAAACTGCCTTTTAGCTGCTTCTGGTACTCCAGCCAAGTCATTAGTTCAGTAAGAGCTGCAAACTCAAGTGATGCTGCTGATTTTCTTCTGCTTTTAGGAAGGCTTTGGCAAAATGCAAGTGTTGTGATATCACCTTAAAGTTGTAGGAACTGGGATGTCTCTCATCCACTTCCTTCTGGTGAAGCAGAGCTTGTGGAGGGTCACAGAAAAGACTCATTTTCTTGCAGTCTGAGATAGACTTTGATGTTGCCTATGAGGCAAAGAGAAAGTGGTAACATTGGGCTACTGTAACCCTCACCCTGTTAGGAGCTTTATAAATCCCTTGGAAAAAATTCTATTGGAACCAGAATTGAACAAGGAGTTCTGATTTATGAAGCCCTTGTGTAGCATTCTCACTTTGACATGACCTACTTGGTTGGTTGTATCATGTCAACAATTGCCAATTCAAAAAAAAATAAATTTTGGGACGATGAATATACAACTACTATGGCAGATTTATGACAGAGTTGGGTGGCGTGCAGCTTGCTGGAGAGAGAGAAAAAACATTTTTTAGAGACTCTTACTTTTTATGTCGAGGGTCTGTGAAGTCTGTGGCTAGAAAAATGTGCATTGCCTTCATTGGCCTTGGAGTAATATTTTCAGCTGACATTACGGTGGTGTTTTTTGCCAGTTTGTTATCTTTGCTTTTTCCATTTTGTATTCCTTAGGCTTTTTTGGAGGTTAGGCTGAACCAATACACTGATGTCAAAGGACTCAGATGTCTGCATGGTATAAATCACAGCTCTTAATTACACTGAGTGTGAAGAATGTAGGATTAACTATGAGACAAACAGAAGCCTGTCTTTTGAAACCCAACAACATTACTTGGATGTTGGTATTAACCTGATCTACATTTGTAGACTTCATAGGAAGAGTTATGTCAAGGAGATGCTGCTTCCAATTAGAATTTTTTTCACATTTTTCACATATGAAAAAACATAACCCCACAAAAATTATTAAAAAAATAGTATTGTTCCTATGCACTAAGTCAATTCATTAAGACAAACCTCCAGGAAAGATGAATTACCTTTATTTTTCTGTGTTGCCATTGGTTCACAATTTTATCTTTCAAGGAATAGTGAAATTTCTTGCTAGAAGAGCAAATGCTGGGTTGGTCTTTTTCAGGATGTTGGTACAAGATATTTTTATTCTATTTGATGGAGATTTGTAGAAATGTTCCTAATGAGTTCTGCTGTACAAATTTTAATGTTTTCCCTATTTAATCCTTATCAGATCAGATTAACAAAAGAAAGATTAGCTCCAGCATCAGGAAAAAATATACTGCTGCAACACCATGCCACATTCTTAGGGCTCAAGTTTGCAGTCTTTTCAAGATGGAAAATATCTGGTAATGTTAAAATTGCCTTATTACTTTCTAACTCAGAAAAACTTGCACTAGGTCATCTTTTTCCAAAGAGATATTCTAGAATTTGTAATCACCCCCTACTCATTGTTAGCACCCAGCCGTCCAATACCCTTGGTGAAATTGAGCCAGCTCATACATCTATCTCTGTGTTAAAATCTTGAATTTACACAGCTGCTGCTCAGCCTGAAATACTGATCCCTAATCTTTTGACTTCTATAAGCTTCAGAAAATTAGGGAGTTGTGAAAAATTAATATTTATTCTTGAGTTTTTGTTCAGTCACTTTATGTCCCTGTTAAATGACTCAGCAATCAGATAAAGTTACTAAAACCTGGTACCATATAAATGTTGACCTTTTGACAGTTGCCTCTGGATTTCTTTAACTTTTTGTGTGAGTCCTATGCATTTATTTAACAATATCAGTAAGCCATAATGTAATTTGAATCATTTAACAGCCAAGGGCTTTGCCACATCATCAGATTGTTGGTATGTTCTATCCCCTTCGAAGGGATGAAAGGCAGTTTTCACATCTTTGTCGTCACTATGATCCAGTGTGGCTGCTTCCTGCAATGGGCTCCCCAGCATCCTCTGTGCTTTATCAGGTGTGCCTTTGTGTGATGTGCTGTTCCTCTGAAGAGTATTACTTCTGAGATCTCATCAGAACTGTGAAGAAAGCATTCCTAGTTCATCCATACACTACAAAACAATGGAAACTTATATGCAAAGATAAAATATCCTACTATTCATGGAAAGAAAGTTAAATTCTCATATTTTTCACTGTGTATGAGATTTTTCACTAAAAAATTAAAAGGCAAGCCCATGTTAAACAAAATTAGTCATTTGTGCAGGATGATTTTTTGGTTTTTTTGTTTTCTGGGATCTGATACTTGTATCTCTCATATGTGATGATATTGATTCACTTATATTTGAT